AATGGAGCACATCCTTTGGACCTGGGGTCCCTCTGCTGAGAACATCCTAGACCCAGTGAAAGCTAGATGCCAAGATACATGGAGATCTCCAAGGACTGTCAGGGTCACAGTTGTTGAAAGGAACCAGGACCTTCCCCCAGAGCTAACAGAGAGAGAGAGTCTTCCCCTAGGCGTGGTGCTTTGAATTTGGTCTTCTACTCTCCTAAAGTAAGAGGGAATAAATTTCTGTTTGTTAAAGCCATCTACTTGTGGTATTTCTGTTATAACAGCACTAGATAACTAAGACAGATGGATTGGCATAATAGCTGCAACAGTGAACTTGAACGTGCTGGTTATTGAGAGGATGATGTAGAATGGGGTAACATTTTGTTCTATTGTACATAAAGTTGCCATGGTTGGAGTCAACTTGATGCCAACTATTTATTTCTAACATTAAATCTGGGTCTTGCAGCATGAAAAGGAGCTTTCCAGGTAGAGAAGAAGGAAAGGGGATTTTAGTCTGAGAGAAAACTATGTGCTTGAGGCCACAAGGGATTGTGAAAAAGAGTGGGATGTTAGGGATATAGGGAGGTTGCATGTGCCTGAGGTGTAGAGAAAAAAAAAAAAAAAAATGGGGAAAGATGGGAAAGGGAGGTATGTGTCTGGGACCAGATCACTGGGGCCCTTGTCTCTCGTTCTCAGGAGTTTGACTTATTCCGGGGGAAATGAGCCATCTGTGTAAATTCAACATCTATGTAGTAAGCTCTCATACATTGTTGGAAGAATATGAAGCAATGCTGTGTTGGAAAGCCAATATAGCAACACCTATTGAACTTCCGTAGTGATACTGCCTCGGAAACCCAAGGAGGGGTCGCTATGAGTCAGGGCCAACTCGATGGCACATAACAACAACAACAACAACAATTGAAATGAAAAACTATCTTGGAGATCTATTTCATAGTATATGTATGTACTGATATGTACATAGACATTCAGGGAATATTATAGTGTTGCTTATTGTTGCATTGTTTATAATGGCCAAGAACTGGAAACAAAGTGAGTGCCAATAATAGGAAAATGGTTTAATAAATTGTGGTATATCCACACGTGGAATTTTTTTTTAGAAATTACAGATAAAGTTTAGAACTCTACTGGGTGACTTGCAGGGATTTCTATGTTGAATGAAAAAATAAAAATGCAACATGTATATGTTATGGTCACTTTTATAAACCAAGCAATGAATCAGAAAGTCCTATAAATGTATACATACTTAGGTAAAAGTCTGTATAGGAATGACTTAATGTGGAGAAACGTAAGGAATGACACCCAATAGTTTACCATGAGCCTGCCAGATTGTGGGACGCAAAGGTTAGGGGATAGATAATAAGGTATAGAGCTATATACGTTGTCCCTAATCAAGGAGTATATGTGATATGATCTTACTTATGTATGTATATGTCGATAAAGTCATAACAATAGAGTGGGCAGTGGGGGGATGTGATTTTAGGTAACTTTCTCTGTCTCTGAGTATGTGTGTGCATATATGTATATATATTATGACTAGGAAAAAATATATAAATATATTTAAATTCTTTACAAAATATATGGGAGCTCTGGTGGCATAGTGCCCAAAGCATTTGACTGCTAACCAGAAGGCTGGTGGTTCCAATCCACCAGCTACTCCTCAGAAAAAGACTGGGCAATCTACTTCTGTAGAGATACTGCCTTGGAAACCCAAGGAAGGGTCATTATGAGTCGAATCAACATAGCTATTTTCTTGAAGAAAGAAAGTTCATTGGTGAGTTTTTGTTTATAATGATTCAAACTGCAATTTCCTCTAAAAAATCACACATATAACTTCAATGCTTAAATATTATAAGCCTTGCATTTAAAAATTATATTTAAAAGGCTTATCACAAAATGGTTACATCTTTCAGAAATCCCTGCTTCTACCCATTAAAAAGCAGTGTAAAATGAAGATGTGATCCTAACCATGGTAACTGAAGCATACCTTTATAATTTCAATCCTCCTTGATACCTTTGACCCACCCGGCTAGCCCCATCAGTGCCCCCTGTTTGCTGTGCTTACTCAGAATAAAAGCCAAGACCTCATGTGGCCTTTGCTCAGAATAGAAGCCAGCCCTATGGGATCTGGCCTCCTTACTTCTCTTCCTTCCTCTCCTCCACCCCTAACTCCCCGAGGCTCACTGTACTCCAGCTGCTCTCTGGCATCCTTGCTGTTCTTCACACATCTTAAGGACAGTTCTGCCAGAGCCTTTGCATTTGCTACCCTCTCTACTTGGAACAATTTGCCCCCAGATATTCATATGGTGCTCTCTCATGTTCTTCAATTATTTCTCACTCATGAGCCTTCTCAGATCCACTTATTTTAAATTGCAGTACCCCCTCCTGCCTCCACACTCTATTCTTCTTCCTTGTTCTCCTTTTCTTCTTAGCATTTCTCACCTCCAACATATTATATACTTTGCTTGTTTATGTTGAAAATTATTTTGAAAATTAACTGGCTCCTTTAATTGAATGCAACCTTCACAAGGGCGGTGATTTTTATGTGTTTTGTTAGCTGCTAAGGAGCTCTGGAGGAGCTCTGGTGGCATAGTGCCTAAGGCATTTGACTGCTAACCAGAAGGTTGGCAGTTCAAACCCACCAGCCACTCCACGGAAGGAAGACTGGGCAATTTACTTCCGTAGAGATACCACCTTGGAAATCCAAGGAAGGGTCTCTATGAGTCGGAGTCAACTCAGTGGCAGTGAGTTTTTTTTTGGTAAAGAGCTCTGGTGGTGTAATGCCTAAGGCATTTGACTGCTAACCAGAAGATTGGTGGTTCAAGCCCACCAGGCCACTCCATGGAAGGAAGACTGGGCAATCCAATTCTGTAAAGATTTTCTGTCTTGGAAACCCAAAGGGGGTTGCTATGAGTAGGAATCCACTCAATAGCAGTCAGTTTTTTTGTTTTTTGTTTGAATATATATTTGTAGGATGAATAAATTGGAGATGGAGGAGATTAGCAGGTAAGATTAGCAAAGAAAGACTGGTTAAAAGATTGCTAACATTGAGCCAAACTGAAGGCAAAGAGATATAAGCTTGACATTAATGATTAGCAGCCACTCCTAGGAAGGAAGATTGGGCAATCTACTTCCATAGTGATACCACCTCAGAAACCCAAGGAGGGGTCGCTATGAGTTGGATCTGACTTGATGGCAGTGTGTTTGATTTGGTTTTGGTTTGATGCATGATGAAAGGAGCTGTGGTGGCACAATGCGTAAGACATTTGGCTGCTCACCAAAAGGTTGGTGGTTGGAACCCACCAGCTGCTCTGTAGGAGAAAGATGAGGCAGTCTACTTCTATAAAGATTTATAGTCTTAGAAACCCTATGTGGGCAGTTCTATTGTGCACTATAGGTTTAGTATGAGTTGGAATTGACTTGATGGCAGTAGGGTTTTTTTTTGGCTTATGTATGATGAATTCTGTTGTAATCTTGAAATGATATTGTCATCTGTTACTGTTTTTTTTTTTTTTTCCACTTCTTATTAGTTTGTCTTGACTACTAAAAAAGATGAAAAGGCTTCACATCTTCATCTCCAATTTTCCCAAAGTGCCTGGCACTTATGTGATATTAAATATAAGGTAATTCAACAAATGTTCACAGACTTCATTCTCATTCTCACTCACTCACTGCCACTGAGTTGATCCGATTCATAGCGACCCCTCCTTGGGTCTCTGAGACATCGTCTCTGTGGAAGTAGATTGCCCAATCTTCCTTCCAAGAAGTGGCTGGTGGGTTTGAATAGCCAACCTTCTGGTTAGCAGTCAAATGCCTTAGGCACTACACCACCAGAGCTCCCACAGACTTCATTAATGATCTGATATTACTGAATTTTATTTGACTAGGTGTATTTTAGGAGCTCTGGTAGCACAGTGCCTAAGGCACTTGACTGCTAACCAGAAGGCTGGCAGTTCAAACCCACCAGCCATTTCTTGGAAGGAAGGTTGGGCAATCTACTTCCATAGTGAGACTGCCTCGGAAACCCAAGGAGGGGTCGCTATGAGTCAGGGTCAGCTCAATGGCACATAACAACAACAACAACAATAGGTGTATTTTAGAGTGAATTTTATTTGACTAAGATCTAAGAATCTAATCTATATTTGCCTGCTATTGTATTAAATAGGGTTAATTTTGCTCCGTTACAAAAGTAATATATACATTCAATATAGAAAGTTTGGAAAATAGAGAAAAGTTGAAAAAAATTTACAAAGCCTTTAGTTCCATGCCTTTATTTAACTATATTTTGGCAAAGGTTTTTTTTTTTAAAAAAACATTATTATAATGATCTTGTATTGACATTTTTCATATACTTGTTTTTCCCCCTTTACTTTTATCAGTGTACACATTGTTCTTTGCTGTAAGCTTTTTGATAGCATTATTTTCAATAAGTGTACAATATTTAACCATGTAGCTGTATCATAGTGCATTTAACAGCATAACTATCATTTTATAATTAAGTTATTTCCACTTCCCCCATTATAAAGATTATCTGGTACTCTGTTAGACTTCATTGTCCGTGGCTTATTAATCTGGTCATCTGCCCCCAAACCATCTGTATCTCAGTCTTATTATTCATAAGATGGGGATATCAAACCAAACCAAACTCACTACCATTGAGTCAATTCTGACTCATAATGACCTTCTGTGGGTTTTTGAGGTGGTAAATCTTTACGGAAGTAAATTGCCCAGTCTTCCTTCCATAGAGTGGCTGGTGGGCTTGAACAACCAACCTTCTGGTTAGAAGACACTATACCACTAGAGCTCCTTCAGATGGGGTTAATGAGAAAAAAATTCTGGGGTTAATAAGAAAAAATTCTGAGGATTAAGGTATGCAAAGGAGAGAAACAGTGCTCAGCATGTATTAGATGCTTAGTAAACATAAGAGGGCCTGGAATTGAAAGTTTTGGAAATTGTGGAGTGTTGATAGCCATCATGGCTCTGTCTTCTGTCTGCAGGTTGCACCTGATGCAGGTGGACTCAGTCCAGCGCTGGATGGAGGACCTGAAGCTCATGACCGAGTGCGAGTGCATGTGCGTCCTGCAGGCAAAGCCCATCAGTCTGGAGGAGGATGCTCAGGGTGATCTCATCCTGGCAGGAGGCCCCAGCGCTGGAGACCCCCTGCAGCTACTGCTCAAGCGGGGTTGGGTCATCAGCACCGAGCTGCGCAGGATTGGGCAGAAGTTGGCTCAGGACCGCTGGGCACGTGTACATAGCATGAGCGTGCGTCTCACTTGCCATGCCCGCTCCATGGTCAGTGAGTACAGTGCTATCAACAAGAACTCCTCACAGGAGATGAGCCAGGTCAGCACATTGGGATGGTGGTGCATGGGCACAGGAATTAGGGTGCCTTCAGGGAGAGGGATTTGAATTATGATGAGCCTCAACCTTTCCTGCTGTAGGGGGCCCCCATTTCTTTCAATAAAACATGAGAAACAGGAAGGACTTTTATTGACTATGTACCATGTGCCAAGGAATCTCTGGGTGGCACAAATGGCTAACTTACTCCATTGCTAACCAAAAGATTGGAAGTTTGAGTCCATCAGAGGTGACTTGGAAGAAAGAGCTGACAATGTACTTCTGAAAACTCTAAGTAGTACAGTTCTTCTCTCTCATACACATGGGGCCACTGTGAATCAAAGTCGAAGCAATCACAACTGTTTTGTTTACTATATGCTAAACAATGTTCTAGATGTTTTTACACACATCTCATTTAACTTGCACAAACTGTGAGGCAAGCATCACCTTTGTAAGAGGTTGGGCAATGGCTAGGTACACTGACTGCCCTGCCAGACAGCCTGGGTTTATATGTCAGCTTTACTGTGTGACCTTGATAAATTACCTAACTTCTTTCTGCTCCAGTTCCATCACCCTAGTGGGTATAATAATACCCATTGCTGTCAAGTTTATTCTGACTCATAGCGACCCTACAGGACAGAATAGAACTGCCCCATAGAACTTCCAAGGCTGTAATCATTATGGAAGCAGACTGCCACATCTTTCTCCTGCAGAGCAGCTGGTGAGTTCGAACTGCTAGCCACATAACCACTGCATCACCAGGGACCTTGGGTATACTGATAGTAGTCATTTAAGAGATTTGTTGTGCTATGAAATGTGTTCTTACATATAAAACACTCTAACATTATTGATTAAATCTATTAGCTAGTATTATCATCCTATCCTAATTCTATAGGGGAGGAAACAGATGTTTAGAGAGGTTTAGTAATGTGCCCAAAGCTACACAGAGAATAGCAGGATTCAACCTAATCCTTTCTGATTCCAAAGCCTATGTCTTTGGATTTTTTTCTTAAAGTTCAAAGTTTACAAGACCAGAAAAACTCACTACTGTCAAGTCAAATTCGACTCATAGCAACCCCTCCTTGAGTTTCTGAAGCAGTATCTCTATGGAAGTAGATTGCCCAGTCTTCCTTCTGAGGAGGGGCTGGTAGGTTTGAACTGCCAGCCTTCTGGCTAGCAGTCAAATGCCTTAGGCACTACACCACCAGAACTCCCAAAGTCTACAGTAAACCATTTTAAAATGCCCCTTATAGCCCATGATCATATATAGGTTGGAGAGGAGATATTTCTACATACATATTTGTATGGGGTGTAAATATATCCATATATGTAGTGGAGCAAATAGGGGGCAAAATTAAGAAAACTTCTTAGCCATAACAAAACACTTTGAGATAACGAGTCACTGGACTTGGGGGCTTAGGACCACAGTCTCAGGGGTTGGCTAAATCAATTGGCACAATGTAGTTCACAAAGACAGTATGGTGAGTAGTGACTGGGGTCTTAAAAGCTAGCGAGCAGCCATCTAAGGTGTAACGATTAGTATCTCCCCATCTGGAACACAAAATAATGAAGAAAATCAAAGATACATGGAAACAATTAGCCCAAAGGACTAAGTCACCACACAAACTTCAACCTCCAGCACCCTGAGACCAGAAGAACTAGATGGTGCTTGGCTATCACTGCTCACTGCTCTGAAAAGAATCACAGTAGAAGACCACCTATAGAGTGGGTGAAAAATGAGGAACAAAACTCAAAATCATAAAAAAGACTAGCCTTGTTGTTGTTGTTGTTGTTATGTGCCATCGAGTCGGACCTGACGCATAGCGACCCCTCTTTGGGTTTCCGAGGCCGTATCACTACAGAAGTAGTTTGCCCCATCTGGTGGCATAGTGCCTAAGGCACTTGACTGCTAACCAGAAGGCTGGCTGTTCGAATCCACCAGCCACTCCTCAGAAGGAAGGTTGGCCAATCTACTTCTGTAGTGATACGGCCTCAGAAACCCAAGGAGGGGTCACTGTAAGTCAGATCTGGCTCCACGGGAGTGCAAGACTAGACTTAGTGTTCTGATAAAGGCTTGTGGAACTCTGAGACTATGGCCCTTAGACACTCTTCAGGTCTAGAACTGAACTCACCCCTATGACTCAACTTATATCTGAACAATAGACAGGGCTATAAGATGAACAATAACACCAGGAAGGTAAGCAGTCCTTAGAATATATAACCAACCATATGAGATCAAAAGGATAGCATTTGACCCAGGCTAAAACTCAGAAGGCAGGTAGGGACAGGACAGAAGGATGAATGGAAACAGTAAGCACAAGGAAGAAGTGGGAAGAGGCCTGTTACACTGTGGGGACTGCAATCAATGTCAGGGAGAAAGTGTGTGTGAATTGTTCAATGGAAATCCAATTTGCCCTGTAAACTTTCACTCAAATCACAATAAAAAGTTAAAAGTAAAATAAAATAAAATCCCTCGATTATGCCTTTCTTTCCTTTGCCATACACTCTTTACCTTAGTGCTTTACCCTTTGCCTGAGATGTTTCTTTCCTGCATTTTGCAGTCACTAAACTTCCACTCGTTCTTATAAAGCCCAGCTCAAATATCCTTCCTCTGAAGCTTCCCAGATCCCAGAACATAATGAATTGCTCAGTTTTGTTTATTTATTTATTGTGCTCCCAAAGCAACTGACAATGATCTGTTTTGTTACCCATGTCACACAGCTATAGTTTATGTGTTTGTTCCTCCACATCAGATTACATGATTCTTCATCTTTATGCCCCAAAGGGCCCTGTACAGCAGTTGGTAAACAAATGCTTATTGAATTGGATAATGTTGATCTCTTTTTCTACAGATTGAGAAGATGCTAATGGAGAAATGCTCGGAGCTCTCAGCAGTCACAGAGAGGTAAATCTAGACCTCAGTTGGTTAGCCCATTCTTGGACAGTGGAAGGGGCTGGCATCTTCACCCTTGGTGTTGTGTTCTGTCAAAATGATTCCAACTCATAGCAACCCTATAGGACAGAGTAGAACTGCCTTCGTAGGATTTTCAGTGCTGTAAATCTTTAAGGAAGCAGATTGCCACATCCTTCTTCTGCAGAGCTGCTGGAGAGTTCAAACTATAGACCCTTCACTTGGCAGTGGAGCTTAACACTGCACCACCAGGACTCCTTTCTTTTCCCTATCTGGAGAAAACAGAGAGCGAGTAGGAGTTGGGAGGCCTGGCAGCAGTCTGGGGAGTTTCTTTTTGCTGACTTTCATGAGCAAATTTAAGTGATTCCCTTGGGATTTCAGGGCCCATTTGCAGGATCTAGGGATAAGGTATAAAACAGAGGCCAGACAAAGAAAGAAAGAAAGAGGGTTTTTGTGGGGGCAGTAATAAGGAAAAGATTTCCTCCAGCCTTAGGAAGGCTCTCTAAGGCCTTTGCAAAGTCAAGGCAAGGTCAAAGCAGACACTCAATCCTTATTCACACACACAGAGACACGTGCATTTACCAATACTCACTCCTTCATGCACAGATCTATAAACACATACTCACAGTCACAGAAATACTCTCTTTTTAATGCTCTCTTTTGCAAATTTCACATAAACATACATATGTTTACACTCAGGCATATACACATGCTGAACAGTATGTGCAGACACACCCAGGTCTGTGTTGACATTTCCTCATTCTTCTCAGCTCCCATGCTCTGGAGGGAAAATGTGGAAATCACATATGAGGACCCGTGGGGATGTTTGGCCTCCTGGCCTGGAGCATTCTCAGGCCACAGGGGTAAATTTGAGCCTGATCCTCTTTTTCCTGTCTGGGAAGAAAATGCCCAAGGCTGTTTCTACACACCATGGATGACTATTTTTAAGGAGTCCCAGACATTGCCATATGCTTTTAGGCTAAATGCTGACAATACCTGATACTCCAGCACTCCTCCTCTGCAGCTTCCTGTCCCTCCATCCGTCCCACCCCTAACATCACTGAGAAGATAGAGCTTGGCTGCAAACATGGCAGATTTCCCTGAGAAAGAAGGTCAGAGCTATGGATTCAGCCACTAGCTGATGTTTTTTCTCTCCAGTGACATGGACTGTCAGCCCTTGTCTCAGGTGAGAACTTTCTTGCTTAGAAAGGGCCACATAAGGAATATTCTGTCTGACTCCCCAGAATTTGATGTCTTCCCCCTAGGCCATTTCCTGGCACAGAACCAGCTCTGGCTTCTGTAATGGTTCTGGAATGCCCATTGCCCTCTCTGGCCACCGACTCCGTGATTTCTGCTCCCCAGGTGCCTCCAAGTTGAGAACGACCATGTCCTGAAGTCGATGAAGGCCTGCGTGAGTGAAACCCTGAGCACCCTAGGCCAGCATTTTGGCCAGCTGCTGGAGTTGGCCTTGACCCGGGAGGTGCAGGTCAGTGTAGGCTGGGCTGTGGAGAAGGGTGCATGTGTGACCTCTTGGGAGAGGTGGGCAGAGGAGCTGCACCAGACAACTGGCTGTGGGAGGCTGCTAAAGTGGCTGTTCTTCAAAGATATTCTCCTCAGATAGCCAACTCCAGCACCTCCAACTCCAAGCCAAGTCTCACTCAATTATGCATTGTCTAGATGTGAAAACTAGGGCCCACAGAGAGAGAAGAGACTTATCTGAGGTCACACAACAAGGCAGTGATGGAACCCAGCATCTCTTGATTCTTTTTTTAGGGTTGTTTCCACCACGCTAGACCATCTCTTAAGTAATTGTTCCAGCCCACCAGTGGGTGCTTATTATCCTGAAAGACTTAAGGCACTTGCAGAGAATAAGCCAATTCTGAAAATTCTGGCAAAGAAGAAGAATCTATGAAGGTCACACAGGCTAGCTCCTGCTTTTAGGCAGGCTCGTGTTAGATTCCCAGAGAGAGTGAGAGGGTTCTTGTGTCTGACTTAGTTACCCAGTGCTGCCATAACAAAATACCACAGAATGGGTGGCTTTAAGGAACAGAAATTTATTTTCTCATAGTTCTGGAGGCTAAAAGTTCAAATGAGAGTCCTGCATTGCCAGTTCCTTCTACGGACCTCTTTCCTGATTTCTGGTGACTGCTATAATCCTTGATGATCCTTTGTGGCTTATAGATACATCTGCCTCCATTGTCACATAGCGTCCCCTGTCTTTGAGTGTATCTCTATAAAGTATTCCCCTTTATAAGATACCACTCAGAAGGAAGGAAGTTTAGGAGCCATTCTATTCTGGCATGCCCTCATTAGCATAACAAAAGAAAAATCCCTCTTCCACATGTTTATATTCACAGGTACAGGGCTAGCACTTCAACATAACTTTTTGGGGGACACAATTCAAGCAATAACAGTGTCTGACAGATCTACTTTGGAACTCTGGTCTACCCTGAGACCTTGGCCAAGTTCCTTAACCTCTTGTGCCTCATTTTCCTCATCTATAAAACGAGAAATTTTCCCCACAAGAAGTGAGAGGATTAAACAAACAACATATGGAAGGTGCTTAGCACATCGCATGCGTTACATTCACGTTATTTCTCTCCCCGGACCTTTCCTATTTTAAAAGTCTCTGAGAAAAGCAGATTCCGTAAGGTTTTCATTATGAAATGTATTTATTTACATGTTATTTATAGTTACAGAAATATTGTGTTACATATTTGCCATTCTTTTCCCACTACCAAATAAAAGCCTTCCACAAACAACAAATCCCTTCCCATAATGCTTCTTTCCAAACTTAGCCCTTCTACTGAGTGCAGAGCTTCTTCTCTCTCTTTTCGGAGTGTCTGGCCCATTTTGCAAAGGGCATAGACCGGTCTGACCAGGCTCACATGCTGCCCCTGCCTCTGTCCACTCTTCTTGGTCCCACTGGGCCTGCACCTCATGTCAGTGTGGCTGATCCAGGCATTCACCCCCTCCTGCCCATAGAAGGGTCGGAGAAGGCTCCTCTCCCTGTCCTGAGAGTCTGAGACTAGGGAAAGGGAGGTCCAAGGGCTGGGGCATTTGGATAGGCACTTAGAGATGATGAGCAAATGCTAACTATTAAATCAGCGAGCAATGGCTCAAGCTGGGGTCACTGCCCCAAACTGGACCATCAAGTTCCACAGGGACCCAGTGGAATGAAGGGGCTAAAATGAGTGAAGAAATCGGGAGAGTGATGAGCACAGAATATAGAATTTAGTGAGCCTGGAGGAATTTCTGAGCATGGGTATAGGTGCCAACTGCTGCCATTTTTATGCCGTTTTAGTGCCCAATTGTCTCGAAGTACCAGCTTCCCTTAACAGGGCTGAAATGGAAGAGTTAAGTTGAACTGTAAACGAAAGCCAGCTGGATTTGGGAATAGTTTTAAGTTCCTTCTACTCAGGGGCAAAGGGGCAGGGTGTCTTTTTGATGCTTTGCGTCACAGAATCCTGGGAAAAGGTCTCTGGGGGCTGTCAGGAGCCTATCTAGGCCTTTCAGACTATGCATTTGATTTCCCAGGGCACTGGTCCATTCTGGTTTTTCCTCATCCTGATCTCATGCTCCCTTCCCTGGCTCCCTCCTGCCCCATCCCCAGGTCTGATCACTTGAGTCCTTCATCTGGGTCGGGAGCTGAGCTGAATCACTTTCAGTGCTGAATGACTTCTATTAGAATTTGGCTCCTGATTGGGCTCCCCCCTGTTTGGGGCAGCAGAATTCTGTCCTCCATTCTTCTGCATATTTGTTATCTTCCCCTATGCTGTCTTCCTCCCCTCTCAGCATGCCCCCAGGGTATCCTCTAAGCCCTCCTATGGGCTGAGCTTGCCGTGTTCATAATATTTATTGTCTGACCTTGGCTTCCTTTTATATTAGACAGTTTCCACACAGGGCAGCAGTGACATAGAGATAGATTGGCTGAAGTCAAGATCATTTGGTGTTCAGTGCTGTGTGTGTTTCCTAAACTGGTAGCTCTCCAGATACTATATTCCCTAAGATGTTAATAATTTATGTCAGAATCCTGGGTTTGGAGTATTTTGACATAAATGAAATTGAACGCATTTCTTTGCATGAAAACTTATACGATGTGCTGTTCTGCATTGCAAATCTTCCAAAATGTCCTTCCTTGCTCATGATATTTCTTGTCTGACTGTTGGCTTCTATAAGGGAAGGATTTTAGTTTCTTTTCTTCATAGATATATTTCTAATTATTAGAATAGTACATGACACAGAATAGGCACTGAATACAAATTTATTTATGAGTGAATGATCAACAATAAATTCCACACTTACATGATCACAGATTTTTTATTATTAAAGCATCTATTCAAGTGTTCTGAGATGCTGGTGTTTCAGGCAATGCAATTTGGGAAACATTCTTTTAGCACTAAGGAACTAGTGCTTAATTCCCAAGTCTCCTGTGAACACCTTGTTTCTGCCACCCCAGGCTGCATCGATTTGGGCTTTGTGAAGTAACTTAGGCCATTCTATTCCCCAGGCTCTTAAGGATTTCCCAAGAGAAATACAAGCACATATAGTTTTAAGAAATCAATTTCCAGATGTTCAGTTTTCATTCTTAAAATTAATCCTTAGATATAATTCAACAATAACCCTATTGCTTTCCAAGAGAAAGGGGTACTCCTCACCCATCCTAAATTTTCTTACAGTGCTCTACCCTGCCGTGCACTGGATGGGAGAGTAGGGAGTCAAACAAGGAGAAGCCTTCATTAAAGAACCATGGAATCCTTAGGATTTGTTTCTGGTTTTATACATATTTCTGTTGAGAGATAGTAGAAATTGTGTGTTTTGCACAGTGTGGGTATTTTCTGAATTTAGATATACATTAATGTGTGTGTGTATGTGTTGTTGCTGTTGTTATGTGCTGTTGAGTTGGACCCGACTCATAGCGACCCCTCCTTGGGTTTCCGAGGCAGTATCACTACGGAAGTAGATTGCCCCATCTTCCTTCCGAGGAGTGGCTGGTGAGTTTGAACCGCCAGCCTTCTGGTTAGCAGTCAAGTGCCTTAGGCACTAAGCTACCAGAGCTCATGTGTGTATGTGTAGGGGATAGTTATAAAAGTTTTCAATTTATCTGAAGCCTTCCATCTCCGTTTATTTTCAAATGGTGCGTAGCTCTTAAGAGATATTCCCCATACGGCAAAGTGGAGAGAGGACTGGTGAGAAACTTCAAACACTCAAAATGGCTTTTTATTTTTGTGCATATTGAAATGAAAGCTATTCCTTTCAACTCTTTTTCATACTCATCCATACCTAAGATGTCATTAGTTGGAAAGAAAAGTATCTTCGAAGAGCCAAAGACTCTAAATGTTAATGATTCCGATTCTTTTAAATGTAACTGGAATGTTTTCGAGAACAACCAAATTTTTCAAGCTATACTGGATGAAAGTTTTACATAATTTTTTCATATTCAGTGTAAATTATTAAAGAAACCAGTTAAAGACTATTTTGTCAAAAAATTTCATGAAGTATTTATACTCATTTTTACTTCGTATTAACAAGGGATAAAATTAATTGCCAGCAGTTAGATTTTAGCAGTATTACCTTTTTTATTTTTTAGATACCTAGAGAAGTTTGATCATGAGAGCCACGGAAATTAACTGAATCATTTCTGAGTTTCCATTTTCAGTTCATATTTGATTGTTTCCTAAAGCTGCACAGCTAAGTGCAATACATGTATATAGGTGTTTACTGAAGGGCTAATGTGACGTTTGTATTACTAGATTTGTAATTAACTTATAATATTAGCTACATATTACTTTGTATTATTACAAATCCAATAAATTATTAAATCTTAGTTTTATAATATATAAAAGTAAATCACTTTTTAGTTTCAGTATATATTAATATTGACAGTTTTTAACAATTGCTCCTGGAAGATGATTTCCATAATTATTTCTCAGTGGTTTTTAACACTGAAACACATATCAAAACATTTTTTAATTAAGAATGAAGTCAGGTTTTTTAATTGAAAGAAAGCAAGTGTGACTTGGCTGATGAGATTGACTAAAAAGATTGTCTTTGCCAATTGTATTTGCCAAAATATAGGGTGGATAATTTCCATAAATTAAATAAGCTAAAACTATGGCTGCAAGGTTTTGATAAAATGTATTTGAAGCACACAAAAATATTTTATTAAAATAGTATTGGCAATGAAATTAATAATATTTTGATTTTTCCAATTCTTTCTAATGATTTGGGTAACCTAAGGTGCTCTAAGTGAAAGAGTAATGGTTATAATTAATTGTATTTTGATAAGTCTTGGTAAAGTACTTTTGGAAGTCTTCCCAGAAATTGAGAAAGTGAATGAATGACTCTAATGATTGGGTAACAAATGCTTTTGCAAGTCAAGTGGTTTCCAATTCTTTGCTTTAACCAATTTAGAGGAGGACCAATTTAGAAGAGTTATCAGCTGCTAGATCATTAAACATAGTGTTTGATGATGGATTATATGTG